AGTACATTAAGCCATAAAACTGGTTGGTATATGACACTAAATTAACTTTATGCTCCTCGCCATTTCCTGAAGCACAGAACCGAAGGTTACCTGACATAGTATTTAAAGTACATATGACATATGTTTAATAAATACCTATTGATTGACGATCCTGGGGATACAGTTCAAGCCTGCTCATTTTACATTAAAAAGTATGAAGAGTTTGGATAAAATATGGGCAGGAAAACACCTAGCTTGATAAGCAAATAATTAAAGGAATAACTACTTTTCCTTGAATAAACTGCCAGTAGTAAAAGGAAATCACATTATAGAATATAATAAAAAAAAGCTTTCAAGAATTCCAGTGCAACAAGAATTCTTTCAGGAAGACATCAGCCAAAAGGAATAACACTTGTGTTAATTCCGACTGCCTGGAAGTGAACGAACGTTCTAGCATTGACACAGTTTGTTGAAGGGTGCATCTTTTTCCTTTTAAGTCAAAATTTTTTATGAAGGAAATCATTTGCATTGAGAAAGCTGCTGTGGGATTCATAGGCTATGGAATATACTTTTTATTCATCAATTCTCATATTATTGCCAAAGGATCATCTGATATACCTAACATACCTACAAACTGTGAAATTGGTTTGCTGTTGTTATGGAGAGTGAGTATTCAGAAAAAGGATTAGTTACTACAAATCAGCTTCATCAGAAGTAAAAATTAATGATTCAGTAGATGGAAAAAATCTAAATAAATCTTTTTAAAACCTTCCCAAGTTTTTCATCAAAATACAAAAATCAAATGTATTATGATTGTCATGATAAAAATTTTTTCAGTTATGTTGGCTAATCAATAAATATTCCTTAAACCCATTTAGAATTTGTTCCCTTTTTATTTTTACTTTATTTATCCTAATTTTAATGGTTTAGAAATTATGTCTTCATCTAGATGACATTCAAATTAATTTGCAAATAATCAACAATAACAATGTGTGTATATGTATATATATATGTGTGTGTGTACATACACACACACACACATATATATAACAGTTACACAGCCTCTAGTTTTTCTCAAAGGTAATGACTATCAGTAACTCAGAGATTTCTCAAGAGGGGAAGGTGGGTGGGGAGTACCGTCCTCCCACTCACCTAACCATCATAGGGCATAGACCGGTAGTTTTTAAGACCATATAAAATTGTTTTCCTGAAGCCCTGATTTTGAGAATGGTTGACTTATAATTCTAACATGGAGAGAAAGAGTCAAAACACAACAAACTGAATTTTTACTAACAAAAATACATCACCAGAAAAGAAGACTATTAATGCTTATATCCTGATATTCTGGCAGTTTTGAACCAAATAGCTGAACGTTTAAGAAACTTCCCCTCAAGACTTAGGTGAATGGAGGGAAACCACAGGAAGACAATACAAATGGGAGAAAAACATAAATATAAAGTGAATTAAATGGCAGTGTCCTGGAGTCCTTTATCCAAGAACTTTGAATAGACATCTGACAAAATTAGAAACTCTTTTGAGATATTTTTGGCTCCACAACTAAGTTATTATAGACAAGGTATGGATAACCTATACCCCAAAAAAGTTTGTTTTAAATAAAGCTAAATTCAACAAACTTTACTATTATCAAAGTGAAAGAGCTGAGACTCACTAAAAGGGGGGGAAGGTAGGAAATCCTTTATTAATTCAAGAACCGTCTTGGTTTTCCCTACCCCCAACTCAACAGCGCTAAGATTTCAAGGAAGTAATTAGTGAAGAGAAGCCACTGAGCAATCTCAGAACCCAGGTTTTGTACCATAATGAATTAATCACTCTCTTCCATTTTTTAAAATGCTTTTCCTAAGGTTTTTATAAATCAGCTAATATTAACAACTCAATTTGTAACACAACAGTGTGTGTATGTGTGTACGTGTGTGTACCCATACACAGAGATGTGTGAATGTGTGTGGGGGGGTACAGATGATATATAATGACCCTGAATCAAACACCTTAGGAACCATTTGAATAAATTGAAGATACTACTAGCAAAGGATATGTAGGAAGTCATTTATTCAAGATGCCAACAAATTTCTGAAAATTATTTTTTTAAATGAGAATACCTGATTTGGGCACTGATTATTTTTTAGCATCAGATATTAATTATTTAAAATCGAAAAATAAGATCTGTTCAATGCCATCATGAAACAGTTCTATGAAATGTATCCCACTAGTTTTACTGTCATTCCATACATTTTTAGAGAAAAATCACACAGTAGAAAAAGCAAGTCACTTCCTCCTTGCCCCACACGTAGGACACTGTAATGTGTAAGGCAGCCAGAAAGATTGCTGTGTTTCACCTCTTTGGAGAAATAATTGGAGACATGATTTCAGGGTTTCTGTATAGGGGAGGGAATGAAGCAATTAGTTGAAATGCTAGGGGCAAAACAAGTGGGCGCTCTCACCCCACTTGCCAACTCAAAGGCTAGAAGCCAACCTCTCAGTGTCGTATTTGCCTAATGAATTGGAAGAGTGGCTTTGCATACCTGCATGTATGTATTTTCAGTTATGTACAGACATATCTCTGTGGGAAAGAATAAGAGAGGTCACGATGATAATTGTGAAAGGGAAGAATTAGAATTAATTTTATTTAGTATGCCAGAAACAGAATTTCTAATGGCACAGTAGGAAAAGTGGAGTTTGACGTAAAAGAAATATCTTCTTCAAGTTGGGTGGAAAAAAAAAAAAATCACATCCTTCAAAAAAAAAAATCTTCAAAACAATCATTGGCCAGGAAAAGTGTCTGTTGTTCAGGAGGAAGAAATATTGCATGTTTTTCATTACACTCCTAATGTAATATGCACATGGAAGCCAGATAGATAAAACAAACTCTAGTGACACAGCCAACTTTTATACTCAGAAAGCTCCCACAGTAGATAGATGATGTTAATACAAGGTGGCTTTAGGGAAAATTAAAAAAAAAAATCAGTGAATAAATGAAAAGCCTTTTGTTTAATGATTAACCTCTCTGTTCAACTACTGAACAGTTTGTTATTTTTAACATGTAGAATTTATTAAAGGTTTCATAGATTTTATTCTTAATTTTCACTGTAAGACAATGAAGTAGCTATTATGATTGGGGGGCAGGGTTTGCTGGGGATTGAATCTAGGGCCTCATACATGCTTGGCACATACTCCTGCACTGGGTTAACCCAAGCCCTAAAGGAGGTATTATTATTAATCATATTTTACAGATAACAAAACAGAAAGTCATATTGGGTAATAGGACACTGAAGTGGAACAATCAGGATTGAGCCTGAGAACATTCTATGCCCAATGTCCTTGTGATTCCTGATGGATTAATAATAAGCTCTGAACCCATTATCTGGAAATTGCATACTTCCTCAGGGAAAGAAGGATGGCTGGGCAGTGCCATGGGCTATGTTGAGATCAGGACTCCTTGAGTCTCAGATTGTGACTGTATTTGGAGATGGGGCCTGTAAGGAGGTGATTACATCTGACAGGTGTCATTCTAAGAGGAAATGAAGATATACAAGAAGATGCCACAAAAAATTATTTTTTAAAAAAGAAAGAAGATGTCACAGGTATGTGCCCAAAGATAAATGTCACATTAGGATAGCCTTCTGCAAACCAGGAAGAAAGGCCTCGGAATAGAACTAACTCTGATCTTGAATCTGACCTTGAATTCTACCTTCCATAAGTATGAGAAAATAAACCTCTTGTCCCTTAAGCTACCCAGTCTTTGGTATTTTGTTAAAGAAACCATGGCCAACTAATATAGAAAGAAAGAAGAAATCATCCAACATTGTAACATGCACAAACTGTAAATGTTATAGCAGTTCATCTGTTTTTCAAGACAGAACTAGGAGCTCTTACAGATTCTGGCTTCATCAATGGATAGGAACGTGTCCCATTCCTGAGGATCACAGGATTGTGGCTGTGTCACCCTACCACACTCTTTCCAACAACATCCCCTCCTGCTACTCTCTCTTTCACAAAGAAATGTGGCTGAAATGTCCCTGCAACTCCAACACACATGCCCTAACAAGCTAGGTACATGATAAATTAAAAGCATTTCAAGGCATGGCCCAATGTTGTTACCTCAGATCTTGCTAGAATAACATGACATTTATAAAAAATACAACCCACTGGATGTTTGGCACTGCTTGGGAATGAAGAATATGTCCACTTAAGAGCCAATACCCCAGGCTGTCAAAAAATCTCAAGCCAGGATTTCTTTTATAAACATTACCTATCTTTAAATTCTTCAGTCTAGGAGGTGAAAAGGGGGCCTGCTTATTTCTAGAGTCTCCTTTCACCTAAACACAATAAATGTAAACCATACACAAGAAAATGTTAAAATCATACTCAAGGCACACTGACAGAACAGCTCTGTGTACCTGGCAAACAGCCTCCACACTATCATCCATGCTTGGGCCATTCCCAACCCAATGTCACCTACACACAGCACCCACACCACCACCGTCTGCCCCCTCTAATCCCAGCACACTCTGAAATCGGGTATTTATAGATTATTTTTTCAGATACCAGCCAAATAATGTCACAGTGCACCCTCTCACCCACGTTAGACCATACAAATTTTAACATCTGGAAGGATAAACTCAGCCCTAAACACGTGACAAGGGTACACAGTCATCTAGGAGTTCTCAAGCAAGGGGGATTTGCCAACCTCCCTCTGAGTTCCAGACTCTGAAAGGCCAACTGTGGTATGTCTGAGTTTCCATCAGGCCTGGTGCTTGCAGGCTGCTGCTATGTCAGGAAGAACCCCACAGCTCAACTGTCCTATAAACGTCTTGCCCCTCTGCTGAGTGCTGTTGGTGCAGCCTTCCTTCTCCAGCCGAGAATATACTGAGAGTCACAGGCTGAATGTTAACTAACACAGGAGCACAGCTGACCGCTCTCTTCTACAGGCCAGTGGCCGCTCTAAGAAAACACATTCACGTGAACATAACAAGAACAGGAAGAGGAGCCCAGATTTTCCTCACCATGTGCCACCCAGCCATGTTTACACTGATCGCAAGTCCTCAGGTTAATCTTCCCCGGCTGAAAACATTCACATGTGCAGTTTACCAGCGTGCAACGGATGGCCTGAAAAACAGAGCAGGAAAAAAGATCAGCATCTGTTCAAAGGTACTATACTTTTTTTTCACAATTTTTAATAAATAATTCCCACTTCTATTTTTAAAGGCTATTTATGTTGGTGGAGACCTAGAGAATTTTGAAAATAAATGTTGATATCATCAAAATCTCTTACCAAAAAAAAAAAAAAGGGTAAGAGAAACAAAGCTCACTCAGAATCATGTTTTAAGTCACTCATAGTAACCTTTAAATTAGAAATGTAGATCAAGGAGAATAAGAATAAAGGATCATATATTCTTCAAAATGCAGAGATCCAAAAAAGAAACAAATGGTACTACTAATTTATTTCCATTTAAGTTTATCCACTTTCTAATAGTGAAAAAGAAAATACATCCTAATAATGTTAAAGTGAAATGTTTATACATTTAAATGCAACAGAAAAATATTGTTACAATATTACTTCTGAATTTCATTTAAATACTTTGCTAATCTGTCAGATATATTTTGAGAGACACTCCTGTTTTCTCAATAAGACTTAGCATATTTATATTATTATTTATCATTTTCCCTTAGGGATTTTTTCTTTGATTATTAATTCTTACTTTCTTTCCCATTTTGCAAACTATAAAACAATTCTCCTTTTATTTTAATGGTGATAGAAGAAAATAAGTTTCAATTGACTTTTTAGAGCAGAATGCAGGAAAAGCCATTTATGTGAACATTTTATACCTGGAACAGTACAACTATATCTTAGAAAACAGAAACTCACACAAAAACTCTTTCATTTCCTTACCAGGACTTTAAAAATTCATTTTGCCAGTTTATATTATAAAGTGAATCCATTGAAAATTAGCATAAATGGAGTGTAACATTTTATGAATAAAAACTTCTGGTAAAGAATTGTGCTAATGCTGACCTGTGCTCCTAGACTACAGTTAATAAATTTATCTCATACATTTAATTCTAATTTGCATGGAAATTCTGAAGACAGAAGGGATTTGGTCTGATCATTCACAGATTAACAATCTACTGTAACTACCTGAACTGCCCGGAAAAGATCTCTCTGCAGATTTAGATGCTATCAGAGATTACTGATCTTGGGTGGAGGCATGGGTTCTGTGAGCACAACTCAGCTCTGTATCTGAAAGCTACACTCACCTCACATGCTCACATTCCTGGAACCATTTGGATTTTTATATAAACTAGTTGAGTTGTAACAGGAAGTATGTTAGATAATCTTAACATGTGCAGAGACTAAGGCTGAAGGGGCTTCTCCTGTTCCTTATGTTCTGGATCAGGCAACTTTTAAGTAATTTCTCTTTCACTGATTTACATTAACTCAATGGGTGCTTCTTCAGTTTCAGATGTTGGAGTCCTCACTGTTTTCTTCTTTGATACTTCACTCTCACTCCTAATTTGTTTTTTCTGTTTGCCTCTAGGGAAATAATTATAAAATCTGCCTGATATTTCAGGGACTGTCTTCCAATGTCATTTGTCCAATTATATATTAGCTAGGCTGTAAACTTTGCTGCATGTATCAGCAATTAAAGGAAAGCATAGGTTATAAAGGGAAATAATTCTCCCCAAAGTTCTTATTTCAATTTCAATGTTTTTTTTTTTTACTTAGCAATGTATCAGAACATTCTGACAAATAGTTTCTTTATATAACATATTTGTTAGTTAGCAAACTCACAATTTGATTGTACTATGCTCCCCAAAAAGTTCAGAGTACAGTATTTCCACTAAAAACAAAATGCTTTACAGTCTACCAAATTATAAATTCAGATATGAAACTGTATTAACATTAACATTTGAAGTGCAATAATAATAACATTTGCAAAGGGTATTTTTTTAAAAAAAAATCCCTCTGCTTTATCAAAATCAAGGGAAGGACAATAAAAAGAAATTATTTTTCAAGGACTATCTTTAACCCAGGCATCAGCAACATAAGCCACTTTAAATCACTGATTTGGTGATATTATTTTACAAAAATGCCCTAATTTGGTACCATGTTTAAAGCACACCTTCAACTTTCATTAAAGCTATATTCAATACCAGAATAGATTGGAGACTATAGGTTTGCTTTATATATATACATATATATTTTATCACTAGCGGAATCATTCATTCACTCACTCTGAACTACTTTATTATTCAAATATTTTCTCTTCCTAAATAATTTTATATGTCTGGTACATTTGGGAATTAAACTTCTCAGATCATCATCCCTTTCTACGAATTCTACTCTTTTTGTACCTAAATATATAAACACTGGAACACCTCAACTCCTTTTGTATATAAACACTTAAACACTGGAATAGCCATTTTGTATCTCTATGAATTCCAGAAGGTCTATTTGTTTTAAATTCAGACTTATATAGACTAAAATTATTCCTTAAGGGAATTATATATATTTAAACAATATGGTCTAAATAAATATTTTGAGTGAGAGACTATTGTGGCTTCAAAGTAAGTTTTATTCTAAACAACATTTTTTGAAACTGCATAAAACTTTGACATGCTATTTATTCACAACAAAACAGAACCAATGTGATCACTTGCCAACTCACCCACACTTAAAAAACATAAATTATCATAAAACTATCAAAGCCCGTTATGCCTCAAAAATGCACATGCATTACAAGAAGAGTAGAAATGGATGAGCTCTCATTCTGGTAAGCAGGTTTGCTTCTTCCTTCCCTGGGCAAATCGGGAGTGCCTCCCCCTCTCTGTGGGGGCACTCAGTGTAAAACCAAGCTATATGCATCACATCATCTGAACTACAGACATTGGAATTCCAGTGATGAAGAAAAGAGCAAACAGTTCATAGTCACACTACTCCCACCTCTGTGCAGGGAACAGCATTCCTGTCTAGCTGATGCAGATACCAGTTCTCCAGGACCCCCTTCATCAGAGGTGCTCTGTAACTCTTTCCTCAATTCTTCTATGATTATCATTTCCCCAACCGCTGGAGGACAACAACTTAAATTTTCTTCAGCCTGAATTTATTGAAAATAATTATTCCTTCTGCTTACCTGAACCAGAGATTTCTTGAAAGAGAAATCCATGCACTCAGCAACCAGTGCTTCTACTTCCTGGCCACCACCTACATTTTAACTCTGCAGTCTTTCTGGATTCTGCCCCTCACTCCCTCACAATGCGCTCTCTGATAGGCAATGTTCTCATCACATCTGGTCCCCTTTTCTAGTCTCCTCTAGCTCCTAGACGTTGATGCAGCTTGCAGCACTAACTCCTTCCTTCCTGGGCGGTGGAGATGGACTATCCTAGTTTTTCTGGCAGCAACGTCTCACTTTCTCTCCACTGTAAATAAATACAGGTGTTTTCCAGAGCCAGACTCTTCATTCTTAAATTTGGCAATTTCATTCTCTCCTACAGCTTTAAATATCACTATGTAAAAACCCATCACTTTGTAGCCAGGGACTGTGCTAAGTGGCAGGAAATGCAAGGCAGTGTCCCTGTGCAGGGGGCCTGACAGTTTGGCACTTGTGGAGAGTGGATTTAGACCACAGGCTCAAAGAAGAAGAAGGAAGTCCTTAAACCAGTTTGAGAAATGCCGTCCCTTCCTCTCTATTACCCGTAAATTTTTATTCATTTTTGCAACAGTTAAAAATTGCCTGCGACTTACTGAATATTTTGCCATTTTCCAGACTTTGATAGGTAGTTGACAAATACTAGGTCTCTGAATCCTCAGAAAATATCATGAGCTTGATATTATTACTCCTTTAATTTCACAAATAAGGAAACTGAGTCAGAAAGAACTAGGCACGTTGCCAAAGTCATTCAACTAGTAAAGTCAAAGGTGCAAGTTTGTGTGAGTGTCCCTCCCAAGTGATTAGGGATCTTGAATTAGAATCTCACTCCCAGAGAGGCAGTCACGGAACAGAGCAGAGCCTTCCTCCAAAAATGCTCTCTCTCTCTCTCTTTCCTGCCTTTCACTTGGTTACTATCCTAATTCCAGTCTTTTTTTCTAGATTACTCAAAGTGGCTCTAATTAATCTACCCATTCCTCTTTTCTCCCCATCCCAGTGAACATTCTCTCTTCTCAAATTCCCACATATTTGACTCTTCCATGTGGCATTTGCTTTATTGAGGCTACATCTTTGACCTCTTGTCAGCAAAAACAGTGGGTGGGAATCCTATCTGATTAGCCAGTGGATCTCCCCGTCCCTGTCCACTGCCTATTTCTCCAAGGCAATGCTCTCCTCTCCACCTGACTACCTTCCAACCCCTGCTCTGCACTGTGAGCTTCTGCTGTTCTTCAGACTTCACTCTGATATCACTCATTCCCATGGCAACTGTCCTAGTCTCCCATTCAGAGCAAGTTCCCTAGCAGTCTCCTGCATCACAGGGGATCTGTCTGTCATAGCACTAATCACAGGTTATGACTACTGTATTGACCTGTGTGATTATTTGATTTGGGTTTGTATTTGCCTCTAGAATTTAAAAGGTAAGATGTCTGCTGGGCTTTTATGCTGGCAAATAAACAGGTGCTCAAAGGGCACTAAAATACATGATTCCCCAAGCTCCTTTCCTCAAATGTAAAATGATGGTAGCAATGACATCAGAACTGTATCAAAAGACTCACATGAAATAATATAGAGTACATGGTACCCTGCCTGGCAACATAGAAACTCAATAAATGACAACCATCTTTATTGCCTCCAGAAACTTTCCACATATTATATTTGAATGATTCTTTTATTCCCTTATAATTCTTCCCAATATATTAAGTTTTATTCTAATACCTTGCAAAATGTTTAATGCATATTTAGTCTTAATGAATAAATGAACACTTTGTATTTGCATTATACATAATAAAAATATCATTCATATTATAACCCTATAAGGTAGGCACAAGGATTATTATCTCTTGTTTTAAGGCTCTTAAATGATATAGTGGAGAGGAAGACAAATCTCTCAATTACTACTGATAGTTTCAGCTACTCAGAGGCTAAGGCAGGGGGATTGCTTGAGCCCACTTGGGCAAC